ATGTATATATTTTACTCGAATACCGATTAGCACTAGAGTGTAAGCTTAGTGCAGGTTAACACTACGATGTATATATATTTTACTCGAATACCCAGGGTCTTCATATGTTTATATTTGGGCTATGTTATTGGAAACATGATTATAATGATATCATTATCATGTGATTATGGTAAAATATTGGACATGTAGGTAAGATGATCTTTACATTGGAAATGACATATAATTTCATGGCATGAGTTTACTGCATGTTTATTATTTTTAATTGCCTCACTAAGTATACACTTAGCATATGATTTTCACGTGTTTAAAGATCAGGAGTATAAGGAGAACTGAGCAACACCAAGCATCAAAGAATATAAAATATCAGTAAGACATCATTTGATGTGATTTTGACTTAGTGGCATGTACTTGTGAATGTCCTTATTGCTTTGTTTGAAATATTTGGAACTGGTTTGTAATGGCTAAACTAAAATGTTTTACTCTATTTCACTATGGATGGTATTAATCAATATTATTATTATAAAGGTATGTATTTTATGATAATTTATGTTTTTAAATATACTTTAACAGTTTTATGTGATTTAATATTTATATTATTAATTACAATTTGGAGAAAATGAATTTTAAACCACTTTTGAGTTTAGCAATGTTTTAAGTAATTTCATGTGACATCTAACCTGATCGGCATAAATACAGGCGTAGGTGTTACAATTTGATTCTCCATGACCCGAGCCTCATCCTATTATTATGTTGTGATTGAGATTTGTTGTGGCTATACATTGGATAGATTAGACAACATTGATGGCGTTGATAATAGTTTCTAAGTATATACTTGTAAGCATACTTATGTTGTGAAGGCATGTAGTGTAGTAAAATTTTATGGTCGTTGAGCTTGTGGCTCAGCATTTGGAATATGTTTCCATTTGCAGGTTCTTAGGTAAGAGTAGACGAGCACTACTGCCATGTTTGAGTTTTAGACACCGTTGATTAGAGTACGTTATTATTTTAGCAGACATGTATCATATATCTTACTTGTATTTAGTCGGAACTCTATTTTATAAACTTATTTTGAGTTTTCAGTAGAAACTAGTTGGAACTCCATATTTTGTAAACTTAACTTTTTTTTTTGAATTATGATTTTATCTTTATGCTTGTTATTTTTTAGAAAAAAAATGATTTAAAATAATTGGTAGTCAAACACTTGACCACTAGACTAAGCTAAAAAATTGTAAATTGCTACCTAATTTGTATTTAAGATGCTTGGTTTTGAGCCTTGAAGAAAGGTTAGTGTCTTGGCAACTTGTTATATGTTCCCAATAATTTTGCATCAAACTCAGCAGCACATCTCAAAAATTCATATACTTGCTCATTCAAGCAAGCAGGGATGGATGGAGGGGGTGGGGTAAGGACAATCACCCACTTGAAATTTTAAAATTATCATATTTTATATTTTTTATAATTTTTTGAAAATCTATTTTCGCCGTCCCTGAAATTTATTAGTTAGTCTATTCTTAAAATTTTAAAAATTTTCCCTCATAACATAAAATCATACGTCCGTCACAACCAATCCACAAATTCCCATATATCTTCCGGGCCCCTCACATTCAACCAACAGCGTGTCCACAATCTACCATGGCGGCTTTCATTGTTATTTCTGCCTCATATTTTGCATGCAACATCTTCCAAGATTTACTTACTCCCAATGGACGCTTCACCAAGGCAAGTTTTTCTTGAAATTTATCATCTGGGATTAAGCAGTAGTCTGTTCTTTGGTTTTGCCCATCAACTCTCCACTTTTTGTTCATCCTGTTGCAGGTGTTTTGTGTTTGCTTCTGCCGGTTATTTCCCCAGCAATCAGAACACCATGCGGTGGCTCTTCCTTCAGTACTGTACGAGTTATTCAATTTTAATCACATTCTAATTTAATTTTTTTTAATCTTACTTCGTTTTTTTTTTCATTTATTTGATTTTTTTTCTTCCTTAATTGCTGCTGTAGGTTACTTTCAATTTTGTTCCTTCTTCTTAATATTCTCCTTTTATTTTATTCATTTCCTTAATTTTTTATTTTTTTCATTTCCTTAATTTATTACATGTGTTTTCTGAAATATATTTTACTTAAATCAAGTTTTTTAATTATTTTTTTCCTAATTTTTTATTAATTCATCATGTTATGTATGATTTATATTTTTTTATATGGTACTCGTGACCCTGTTTCCTTATTTTTGCAGACTAGATTTACTTTCATTTTTTTTTTTGACATTTTTCCACACCATTCTTATTTTATTTTACTGTGATAAATCTCAAAAGAAATGTAAATGATCGTTATTTTAAATTTTGGCATAAACTTTAATTTTTATTATTTAAGACAACATGTAATTGTGTTGGTACCGAAATGACAATTTTTCCTCAATTGTAATCGACTCCCGAATATGATAATTTTATGGTAAGACGTAGATTCGTAAAAATGGTAAGTTTAAGTTATCTGATCTACGTAATCTTAAAAGATCGATGACGACCATCACATCAATTCAAGTCGATACAAGAATTTGGGACCACCTGAAGGACCGTTGCGACATTTACATTATTCATAAAAATATAGAAAAATAAACATTGAAAATAGTGGATATGCATTGTTACAATAAGAAAATTACATAGTTTTAACGCAACTATTCGAACGAAACAATGAACTTATTAACATATCTTAGACAGTAACAAGAATTATCTCAAAATTTAAAATCAACCTAATAACGTTAATATTCCAAACATTAAAAACACAAACTCATTATCAATATCAAATAATAATTTTAAAATATTGAAACATTGAAACTAAAAAAACAATAAGACATTTAATTAACTTTACCTTGATGCTAGAATGTAATTTGATTCGATTAGTCTTTCCCCTTGATAATTGTTAAAATATAATATTATTTTATCAAGAAGATTGTGGTTAGGGTTCGTAGAAAAAAGAAAATTTGGAAAAAAAGATGGGTGAATATAATTGATTAAAACTTGGGAAGGGGTTTTTAATTTTTTATTATTAAATTTTTATAAAATAAAAAGGTAAGGTTAAATGGGTTAGAGTTAAATTTTAAAAGTAAAATATATGGAGATGACTATTGACTTTTTTTATAAGAAGTAAATTTTTTATTTATTAATTTTTATAAATGTGGGACCCTATTTTAAAGCGTGTCAATTTTTTTAAAATTGGTGCCATTTGTTTTTTTTTATATCATATATAAATTTAAATAGAAAAAAAATTGTGTCAATTGACATCCTTCAATATATTGTGGCTCCGCCATGTAACAAATTATTTAATCCGTGTAATTTATTCTTTTTATATAAAATTCGTTAGTTTTTATTAAAAATATAAAATATCTAAAATTACAATGAAGATTTATAAGCATAACTGTAAATCTAAAATATAATTATGATATTTTTATTATCATTGAGACAAAAACTAGTCACGTAGATCACATAAAGATCAAAGAAGGAAAATATTAAAATCTAACCAAAATATGAATAAAATAAGATACGAACAAATATGATTGATTTGGTAAACGAACCACAAAATGAGATAAAGTTATTGAAAGATCATCGACAAGTTGCAAATCAGAGTCAAGTGACGTGAGAAAATTATCTACAATACAAAACGTGTATCCAATCAAACCAAGGGTACAAAGCATGGAAGATCGACATGAAAACAATAAGTGGCATATTGATAAGTCGTGGCGATGTCAAATTCAACATTGAAAAAAACAATGGCAAAAACCCTAAACAATGACAAAAAAAGTAAGCTACTATAAGGTAGAGAAAAACATGCCACAAAGATAGAGATAAACGTGTCATAATGTAGATAACATGCCACAAAGACATAATTATTCTTATTAAAATCTAAAAAATAAAGAAAAAATAATCGATGGCGGCAACCAGCATTAAAACTGGTGTCACTGTCGGTTAAACAAATTAAAGAAGAAAAAATTAAATTGATCATAATTGACACAAGTTATAAGAATAAAAAATGAAAAGAAATGAGTTAGTTCATGTAATTTTAAATCAAGTATAATATATTTTAAATATTATCCTATAATCGTTCAATTATTAATCAAGTTTAATATATTCTAATACATTCGAACCATTAACCTAAGGAGGTGTAACTAAGTTAAAATTCTCTTAACAAGTAATAATTGTTTTTAAAAAGTGGAAATTTTTAATTAATAATCATATTTTGAGAATAATGTTATCAGCTTAAAATTTTGAAATCCTAACCTTTAGAATTTATAATATTTGATCATAAATAATATAGGGTAAAATACAAGAGATCGCCAATTATATTTGAATAATTAATTTGGCCATTAATTTTTTAAAAATATAAAATAACATCAAATTTATCAAATTATTATAAATGATCACTATCAAGTTATAATGAGTGTAAAAGATTGATAATTTAATGTTTTTTTTTAATAATTTTAATAAAATTTAATGATAATTTATAATAATTTGAAAATTCGTTATTATTTCATGATAATTCAATGATATTTTATAATTTTAAAAGTTCAATAAAATATTTTTATTTGTATTTTGTATCATTTACTGAACTTAACTTTTTTTTAATATTTTACTAATTAAATGGATATACAATAAATTCTTAGTTCCATTCAATCAATTGTTAACAATATTTTATTATTATTTTAAATAAAAATAATTTAAGAAATCATTTTTGATAACAAAATTCGGTCAATTAAATAATGTGAAATTATAAAATAATAACTATTAAAATAAAAAACACAATTTAATTCAAATACAAAGGATAGCCATTGGTGGGTTTGTTTAGAAAGCCCAAACGTCAACTACCACGCAGCAGCACGACGATTCCGTGCTACCTACTGATAAAAGGGGAAAATATGACACGTCATATTTTATTTCTATTTTTTAATTTATTTTCACTAATAGGCCAAATAAAAAATTAATTTATTTTCAGAGTCCCCGATAAAATTCCCATCCCCGCATTCCAAACACTCTTTCCCTCTATATTGGTCTCCTCATTTTCATTTAATCTTACTGTCAATGACTCAAATCAGTCGTTTAAGAACATTGCTTGGTAACATATATATTTTGCATGCTTCACTTTGTTGTTCTTGTTAATTGTTGATCTTTTAACTGCATTTATTTTTTACATGGTTTCCGTGTCAGATTAACATAATTGTCTTCGGATCTTGAGGTTTTTGTTTTCGTTTTGAATTTTTATTCTGCGTTTAACTAATTGATTATAGTTGAAATTTAGTTTCTTGTTCCGTTATTTCTGTACTGGTTAGGCGTTTATGCTGCGTTTCTTTTCGCGCTTCTGTTTGGCTGCCGAGAAACAATTTTTTTTGTCTGCGTTTTTTATCCTGGTTCGGTTTTCTCTTGAAAGAGTAGATTAAATTTAAGCATAGTGTATTTTTCAGAGCAATTTATTTATCTATAGATTGCATGCTAATTTTTGATTTTTTAACTTTAATAATAACAATTTTTATTATTTCCCCTTTTATGAATATAATCTAATAAATTTATTAGTTTTTTTTTTTCCGATTGAAAATGATTTGCCATGTTTCTTAAGATTCAAGACGAGAGTATTATGTCTGAAAATTATAAGCTGAATCTAGAGGATAGGGTTAGTGAACATAAACTTTTTGTTGCGGTGGATAATGTCATTTTCAGGGTAATTCTTAAGCTATTGGTGACGCCGATTTTTTCGAGCCTCTCTTTTTTATTCTCCTTTTAACTTGATCTAGCGACTGAAACTTGAGCATCTTGCATTTTTAGTTGTTGGTTGTGAAGATTGGTGGAAATGTATCTTGAACTTCGTATGTTTACTAAGGACGTGGTTGTTTCTATGTCAATTTAAAAAAGACTTAGGTACTTTTTGTTGCTGTTAATGCTGTATAGGAGTAAATTCCATATATGCCACATTAATTAACTTGAGCATAGATTGATTGTTGATAAATTGTTTAAAACATGGGTTCTGATCTGTTTTCATGTCTCTTTTACAGGTTAAGAACTTGCTCTTGGGCTGTACTAAAGCTCAAAAGAAATGGTACTCTTTAGTTTTATCATTTTTTCTATATTTTTTGTTGTTGTTTTTATTCTTGTAGTATTTCTTGAAATATATATATATAATATTGATAATAATAATGATAGAATACTAGTTTTCCTTAGTTTTACCCAGCCAAAATACAACTGAACCTAGTTCATTACCGAAAATTTGTTGATACCATGATGTTATCTGTATCTTTTGTAGGATCGAAATAGTTCTGGTGGTGATGCTGAATTTTGACTGGGATACTGAAGATGAACTGGAAATTGATAATTCCTCCTCTCGCTCAGGAGTGTCACTTACCAATGGGGAAGCTGTCTTGGGTACACGGAGGTACATGCTCATCTGTAATTACTTTATGCCACATTCTGGAATAGTATTGCAGTTACTGTATTAATTTGGATTTTAAGAAGAATTTTTTTAGTGATTATTAGGATTATGTTATTGAATTATCTTTCATTTGCAATTTTTAAAGAAACAATATACATTTGGTTAGTGATATTAATGGATGAGATCTTATAGGAACTAGTTGAAAAATGGTGCATTGGCCGTTAAGACATTTGCTACTATAGGTTTCTGTAATTCTGCATCTCCGTCTTATGTAATGCTTTTTCTGAAGTCTAAACTCTTCTTATATAAGGATTGTCTACCCCATTTATTCTTCGAATACCTGTTTTTTGCTGACAATCTTCTCTCCGCTTTATATGTAACTTTTCTACAAATATTATGGTTAAGGGAAAAGTAATTTCATAACTAACTCATGATTAACTTTTATCTTCTCAAGGTGAGCTCGTCTGCTGATTCTTCCAATTCCAAGTTAATTGATCATTTTGTTGGAATGGGGTTTTCCGAGGAACTTGTAGCAAAAGCCATTGAGGAAAATGGTAAAGCTTCTAGGTCTTTTCTACTTGGAGAATAAGTTTAAATCATAAGCTCATTTATGATTCTGCTTTACTATTGTCCAGGGTGGAGAACTCAAACTTGATACTCGAAGCTCTACTTCAGTACTCTGTGAGTTACTGCATATGCCCTACTCTAATGATTCTTATTTTGCATATACTCTGATTCTAGAAAGTTGCTGCATATGCTCTTGGCTGAATTTTCACTATTAAATCATTGATTTGTTAGCCTGTTGATTTCATAATTTATTAATCCTTGATTTCCCGTTCTGGTTTGAAGGCAAGCTCATTGGCTAGTTTCTTCCAATTCCAAGTTGATTGACCATTTGTAGGGATGGGGTTTCTGAAGATATGGTTATCAAAGCAATTAAAGAAAATGGTATGGTTCTTTCTTGTTTTATTAGACATCACTGTTCATCTCAGCTTCTTTATCTATAATCTTGTCTATTTTTAGGAGGGGAAATACAGATACGATATTAGAGACTCTGTTGACGTATTCGGTAAGTTGTACACCTGAACCTTGTTTTTAGTGAAGACTATTTCTGGAATATACTTTTTGTGGAGAGAAACCAATTTATATGAACAATAATCTTGATTTTGATGCAATAGCAAGACTACATATACAGTGGTACAGGTGATATTTGTCAATTCTTCCCAAGAATTGTTTTTTTTGAGTTTTTGGATACTCTCCTCTTGTTATATCATTGAATGATTAGTTTAAATTTGCAGGCTCTTGAAAAGTCTGCACCCATGCAACATGTTGATTCTGATAACTACTCATCTGATTATGAAGCGAGCTTTCAGGATGATTTCACAGATATCGATAGTTCTTCTGATACCGAGGTATGTAACCTTTAATGTTATATCTATTATTTCATCTGTTCATTTTGAAAATTTTTAAAATATCCATCTGTTAATACTATGAGAAATTTAATTCTAAAAATTGATGGTGCTTTAATTTTTCTAGCAAAGTGGATGTGCTATGATGTGGCCTTTAGTCATTGATTCGCATTTTCTATAGATGCTATAATTTATCTACTGACGAATTACATATATTACATTAACAAATATTTTGTCTCATTTTACCTGTAGATTATTTATTTGAGTTTTTGTTTTTCATATTTCTATGTTCTAGGAAATCCTGAATTCTGATTCTGATGAGGAGAGTAAACTGTTATACTTGACGAAATGGGATACTCAGAGGCTGAGGTTTCAATAGCCATGAGAGATGTGGTGAGTTTTTTTTTCGAATGAGAACTACAATGGTTATGGAAAACAAAGGAAGCTTGAATGGTAGAAGAAGAAAAAATGAGGAAAATGAGATAGGAAGCCTTTTCCCCTGTTAACATCTTTCAATAAGGGTTCAGCTTTTCAAAAAGTTAATGGGCCTTTTAAAAGGGGATGTAGTTCTTACACTCAGATTGTACCTTAACATTAACTCTTTAAATACTACAGGTCCAGATTCATCAATTGCAGAGTTGATAGATTTTATATGTGCTGCTCAAATGGCTAAGCTGCTGATGCACTTCTTCCGGTAGAAGATAGGGTAGTTTCTTTCCCCTTTCAAAGAATTTAGATTTGAAGTTCTCTTCGTAAATGTTTGTAGTTTTTTCTTGCATATTTGCATTTTTGTAACAGAGTTTGCCAATTTGATGTAGTTTTACGTTTATTATTTTTGGTTACACTTACACCTTCCATCCAATTAAACAGAAGCCATTCTGTAATGATCCCAATTACAAGAAAAGGCGAAACTCGGGCTATGATTTTTGGAAAAAGAAGAAGCAAATGAAGCTTGAAAAGAAGCTTCTTAATGAAGACGATCATGCAGTTCATCTTCCAAATCCAATGATTGGTTTTGGGGTTCCTACTGAACCAGATCAGATAACTCAAAGAACACTTCCAGAAGATGCTATTGGGCCTCCTTATTTCTACTACGAGAACGTGGCACTTGCTCCAGTTGGTGTTTGGACTGAAATGTCACGGTACTTATACGATGTAGAGATTTGTAGATTCGAAGTATTTTTGTGCTGCTGCTATATTCATAACTGCCAATTGAGAAAGATTTCCTCTTGTTCCGGCACCATACATGATGCTTTTCCATTAATGGTGGCCATTGGATCCAAGAACAAAGAACTGTTTACAAACTTGTACAGGAAGTGCCAAATTGACAGAAGGATCCGTAAGGCTCTTGAAGCTTATGACGATGAGCCACCTTTGAGTGTCCAGAAGTATGTTCTTGATGAGTGCAGAAAATGGAATCTTGTATGGGTTGGAAGGAATAAAGTTGCTCCACTTGAACCTGATGAGGTGGAAATGCTTCTAGGTTTTCCTAAAAACCATACACGAGGAGGAGGATCTAGTCGGACAGAGAGGATTAAATCGCTCGGTAATTCATTCCAGGTGTGATTTTTACTTTTTTTTATCTTGTAATTGCCAAATTCCCAAGTAATAATGGTTATGGTACATGAATGTCATAATGTCTCCATTATTAGTTTGATTCTTCTAATGTGATTCATGGTTTAGAGATACATGAATCCATCCTTGCAGTGCTATGCTTATAGAATAGTTGATTTCAGGTCGACACAGTGGCTTATCATCTTTCAGTCTTAAGAGACATGTTCCCGACGGTATCAATGTCCTGTCTCTTTTCTCTGGGATTGGTGGTGCAGAGGTTGCCCTCTACAGGCTTGGCATACCTTTGAAGGCTGTTGTATCGGTTGAGAAGTCGGAAGTGTGCAGAAACATTGTTAGGAGTTGGTGGGAGCAAACAAATCAACGGGGACTCTAATTGATATACCAGATGTGCAAGAACTGAATGGTGATCGGTTGGAGCAATTGATGAGTAGATTTGGCGGATTTGACCTTGTTGTCGGTGGCAGCCCGTGTAACAACCTTACGGAAGCAACAGACACCATCGAGACGGACTCGAGGGTAAAGAATCTTCTCTTTTCTACGATTATTGTCGTATATTAGACTTGGTTAGACTTATGCAAAGGAATCAATGATTTCATGTGAAGGCTTATTTGTGCATCAAATTGAATTTGTCTTGCATCTTTGTTATTGTCTGAACATAACAGTGCTTCCGACTTAACTTAGAATGAAGTGTTTAAAGTTGAACATAATTGTGTTGGACCGTATTCGTACCTGATACGTACACTTAACATTCTCCACCTTATCTCGTGTTCTTACATAGTTCAACTCACTTCTTTACTAACGTTATTTTTTTCTAAAAAATTAATACTTTTTTATTTATGAATATAATTTTGATATATATTTATGCATAATGCATAAAATATTCATATTTATGATGTTAATATAAATATAATATTCATATTATATTATACAATATTTATATAATATTTATGATTATTTAATCAAATATTATTAGCAATTTTTGATATTATACCTAAATATATATGCTAAACTCTTTCTCGAGCCTTAATAAATTCATATATATGTGTGTATGTTGGGTCATATTTTTCATTAATTTGAATCTGATTTGAGTTTTATATTCTTCTATATTCCATCAAGTCTGACTTGAGTTTAAGGAGATTCAGTTAGATTCGAAACTTGATTCAAATTTTAGAGTTAAATTTGCACATGATCTAATAGTTTTTTTTTATTTATTGTATAAAATAGAAAATTATTATAAAAAAATAGAGAGATGACATTATAATATTTATTCTGTAAAATAGAAAATAATTTAAAAAATATAGAGGACATTATAATAATTATCCCTAAAAATATAAAGAGGACATTATAAATAGAAAATTATTAAAAATATATATATATATATATATATATAAAGAGGACATTATAAAGAGGTCAAAGATTTTTTACTTTAAATTCAAATTCGAACTGATTCAACATTATCATTCATAAAACTTAACTTGATTTAGACCTAAAATTTAATCTAAAATAAAATCAGTTCAAAACATGTCAAATTTAAATAAAATTATCTTCTTATATACATACATTAAACATATTATTATACTATGTGAAAATTCCCTATTTTATAATTTTTTGAAGAAAATATTATTTATTAATAGAGACTAAAAATCATTATTTGGGCCTCTTTAAAGAAAACCCTATAATTAAATGGACGAAAAAGATACATCCAGACAATGACCACATAAACTGAACACCCACCAAATACATCCATTGATTCATCTAGGAACAACCAACACAAAAGCAAAACCAAAACATCAGCAACGAGACCTCAAACAACAAACAAACAAAACCGGCACACGAATACAATACTCACCCAACAAGAGAACCAGAAGCCAGCTTAGCCAAATGATCTACTGCCACATTTCGACTGTGAGGGACATGTCTAACGCTTAATTTTCCACTGATAAACATTGCAGCAATCGGCTGAAGAACCAACACCCATTCCGAGGGAATAGAACTTGGACCCCTAACCCAATTCACCACTGTTCCGCAATCACACTCTAAAATAAGGTCTGCATAGAATCCGCAAACAACTTAACCGCATACTCCACAGCTAAGATCTCAGCCATCAACGGTGACTCCCACCAATCGGGACTGAGAAAGAAACCAAGATCGAACCATTGGAATCTTTAAGGATTCCTCCAATACCTCCACCGATGTCATCTATCCGCATCGAAACGTCCACATTGAACTTCACGAAACAATCGGAGGTGGGATCCAAACTAAAGAAAGTGGAGCAGATTTTTTCAGAAGATGAACATCCTTCGCAATCAGAGATCCGCAGTCAGGTTATCCAAATAAAAAGGTGCCGATTGAAACTTGGTCGACAACCAGCAGGCAACTCTATACTTAACTAAATAGACCAATTGAAACCAATCAAACCTCTTTCCATGAAAAACCACTTCATTCCTAAAAAGCCGAGTGGACCAGATGATAGCAAAAGGCAAAACACCCCAAATTATTTATAAGGCGGAATTGGTGGAAGAGCCTCACACCACACCTGCAGAAAATGATCGAATGATTCTGGAAGATCTGAACATATCGGGCAGCGATCGTCCTGAACCGCAACTCTGAGTGGGAGAGCCCTCCATAAAAATGCTTCTACTCTGAAAGGGCCAATTCCCAACCAAACATCTCCCCTCCAATTAAAACCAATCTGCTCCCTGTAAAATGCTTCTACTCTGAAAGGGCCAATTCCCAACCAACCATTTCCCCTCCAATTAAAACCAATCTGCTCCCTGTCAAATGCTAAATTCGACGCTAATTTCACCGAATAAACACCATCAGTCGAACCCAACCATTTAACCCAGTCTGATCGAGAAGCCGAACTCGCAAAACTTTCGAGCAAACGCAACAAACCTTCCCATTGCAATCTTTTCCAATAAAAAACCTCCCTCCTAAGCAGGATATTCCATCTCCACCCTACCCCAACCTTAATCCCGAAATCAGATATTGGACCTTTCTTATTAATCCACAAGAGCAAACATCCTCGGAAACAAATCTTGAAGTGGTCGAATTCCTAACCACTTATCCTGCCAAAATCTAATACCTCTCCTGTCTCCCACTTGGATTTGAAATAAATCAATGAGGCCCATATTTCCTCCGTCCCCTGTATAGGTAGAAATAACTCCCCACCACATCCAAGAAGCTCCACGAGAGATAGATCGAGAAGGGAGCAAAGCATTTCAGTCTAGACTGTACTTTACAGTAGTCACAAGTTTCCAGGGAGTCGACTTTTCATTGCAGAAACGCCAGCACCACTTACCAAGGAAACCAAGATTTTTCTGTCTTGTATCTACGAAGCCAAGACCATCATAGTCTACCCGTTTGCAAACTTCAGCCCATCTAACCCAATGGATGTTCTTCTTATCCTTAGAACCGCCCCACAAAAACCTCGAGAATAAACCATTGAGCTTCTTGTACACCGAAGCAGGTAATCGAAAGAGAGACAAAACAATAGGAGGGCATGTTAGATAGCACTGATCTTATCAAAGCAATTCGCCCTCCAAAAGATAAATACACTAACTTCCATCCCTCAAGTATGTTTCCACTTTCTCTATCGAGGTTCCCATAACCTTACTGAATTCCGAATGAGATTTCACAGGTCCACATTCTCTGAAAGGGGCAATTCCCAACCAGACATTTCCCCTCCAATTAAAACCAATTCGCTCCATGTCAAATGCTAGATTCGACACTGATTCCAAAAGTTAAAGAGACCGACTCCCATAACCTTGTAAAATGCCCGAATTTATATTTTATCATGTCTTAATTTTATTATTTATATTTTTTATTAAACTGATTAAAAATAATATTTTCTAAAAAAGTAATATGATTTTATCTTTGAAAAATTTTATATTTATTAAATTTTAATTAAATTTGATGTCACAAGTCAATATCACTAATGCAATAATAATCATGAACAATTACAAGATTAAAATTAAAATAAGAATATATATTGAAAAAATACTAAATAAATTCTTTTTTTTAATTCTACAATATTTTTTTCCATAAAATTAGGCCAATAATTTTTAATTCTACCCATGGGGTCAGCTAATTTTTTAAGAGAAAAAAGATTATTTCTTGTTTTTGCTATGAAATCAAACTAGCTTTGTTTTTTTATATGGTTTGACATATTGGGATGGATAAAATTCATGCAATTGATTATCAATTTGGATTTTATAGGTTTTACTAAAAGTTATGGATTTCAATGGTCAGTTTCAAACCACGGTTCTTCGACTGCAATGAGCATTGATTTTGGTTACGGAACTCGTCATATAGGTGGATGAGAAAAATTATAAAATATTTAGTTTTATAGTATCATAGTTTTGACTTCATTAAATAATAATATTTAAATAAACTCATCATGTGGACATGATGATTTTATCCTATAATATAATAAATGTAGTAGATGCAAAATAATTTTCGGGCTAGCCATTGGGCCAATTGATTTTGGTGAGGGGATTATTGGCCCGAATTTACCTATTTTCTCACACTTTTAAAATTTTATTTCAGAAAAATGCTAGATGTCCAAATGCGTGTGTATGGAAAGGCCTATAAATTTGTATATTCCTTTGAACTGCAGCCTCTTTTGAATTTCTCTCTCTATCCTCAGAAGACATAGCGAGGAGAAAGAGAGAGAAAACCCTAAAAACAGTAATTTCTTTTATTTCTATTCGAAATCGATTACCGCTTTATATTCCTCGAGCCGATACCTTCAGGTATTTAGATTTCCATAAATTCTGTTTGATTTTCTCATATCTGAATTTCGTTCTTATAGTTTAGATTCTAATCTCTATCCCTAAAATTTGTGAAGTTAAGGGTTCTAAATTCTATGTAGATTAGGTTGAGCTCAGGGTTTTGATTGGTTATTAATAGAATCTGACGAGGAAAACTGGAGTTTTCTAGTTTTGATCTTGAATCTGGGAACTGGTTGAATGTGAAGTATGTAGTTGACGGAGTTATTTTTTCTTTTGAATTTTAACATTCATTGAGCTCTTTTTATTTGCCGATCTGGGTGTTCAAATATTTGAAGCTTTAGCCTTAAATTTTGTACTCCTATTGATTATTGGAATAGGCCGTTTAAATTCATTTAGGTATCTCGGTTTTATTTTGTATTCAATCAGGTATCCGTCAATTCCTGAATGTAATCCTGATCTTTCCACTCATCGGTGGGGAGGTCAGCTTTATTTAAGCGGTTAAAGTGGCCGTGTCATCAACTCATGGCAAGGCCAAGGCTCAAAATTTGATTGGACTTTGCCATCCCTTGAAGGCAAATGCGAGGTCCATTTAATATTTTTAAAAATGGTATATTCGAGGAATTGATTTCCCCTCGCATTAAGTACAGGAATTTTTAAAATATTACAAGTCCAAATATTAAAAGGTAAGAAGCAAAAAGAATGATATTATAAAAGAAAAAATGATTCAAATGAAAGTTCAATTCATGGTTTTGGTTATCCAAGCTATTTACCTTTCGAGTTTGTGGTTATCATTCTTTTATTAGTTTCTCATTTGTGCCTTTTGGAGTTTTTGGTGCTTGCAGATTTTTGTTGGTGCCATTTCTTTCAATGGCTGCTATAGATGCTGCCTCTTCTGCTGCTCCAAGATTTGCTCCACCAGACCCCACTCTTCCCGAACCATGGAAAGGTTTGGTTGATGGTAAAACTGGTTATCTCTACTTTTGGAATCCAGTAACCAATGTTACCCAATATGAAAGGCCTACAAGCGTAGAATCTGTTCCAAAGTCTTCTTCTGTGCCTATAAATTCTCAAATTCAAGTTCAGCAATCTTCTGACGGACATAATGGACATAATCCTGACAAGGAAAATGATCGACATGGAAGAGGCAGCAACGATGTATCAAAACTTGAGCCAGTATCACGTTATAATCAGGTAAATTGTTCTCTGGTTTCCTAAAAGTATTTCACTTAATTCTACTGGTTTACTTATTGGTCTCACTTGAAATTCAAAACTAGTACATATGCCTTAACTCCGAGTAATGAAATATGCCCCTTTTTCTTTCTGGTGTCTGATACTTTGATTCTTGATCTTGTCACATTATACCTGTAACATATTGTATAGACTATCAAAATTCCTGATGCGTTGATTTTCCAAAATTAAAAAAAAAAGGTAAAGCATATTAAGTTGGAATTTATGAATATCTTTAGTTTTTTCTACCTAAGATTAATCTAATGTTCTTAATTTGCAATAGAATGCAGGTGGTGGACCTGTTCATTCCCATAATACACCTAATGGGACTTATGGCTCTGTGATTGGAGGATTTGCTAGGGGAAATGGATTGATGGCTGGGGGAAGTAATTTGTCTGGTGATGCTTATCGCCATCAGCATGAGATAACTGTAACTGTGAGTATGATAGTTGCAATGTAACCATCTTAGTTTTCTATGTTTAATCGGGGACATTGGCTTCTGAAAATCTTATTGTTCTTGATGCCTTGTTATATTTCATGATTCCAATATTTAAATTTTTATGACACGTTTTCCCTAAATTTTGTAAGGGAGATGAAGTGCCCCTGCCCTTGTCTTCATTTGAAGCAACTGGCTTTCCTTCTGAGATACTTAGAGAGGTATACTATTCTGCTTCCTCCATATCCTTTTGGTCTGTGTAACATTGGTGGATTTGAATGAAATTCCGATCTTGTAAGTTAAATCTAACGATACAAGTTGAACATTTCTTGTCTAAAGTTTTGTGACCGCTTAAAGTTCCAATGTTGAGCATCAGACTCGTGTTAATTCTTTTGCCATCTTTATGCTTTGTCGCAGGTGCGATATTTGCTCTTTGGAGGAGCTAATGTCGTACTCTGTGGTGCCCTCTGTGGGGGGGCTTGTTTATAATTTTGGGTGCCCTCTATTGTGGACCAATTTTGGGAAGGGCTTTCTGAATGATCCACGTTCGGAGCTGGGACTGCTGTAGCTGATGATTCAGTCTGCCACTCAGTCCGAACGGAAGAAGAGGCCTCCTCCTGTTCCAGCTTGCTTCAGCAAGCATTGGCTTCCTGCATATGGGGGTGATGCTTCTTGTGGCATAAATTACTCCTGTATGACAAACCAACCATAAGTCTTGAGGGCAATATGTCTGCTCACAGGGGATCCTGGATTTTTCATTCTGTTGCTTTTAACAGGTATACAATGCTGGGTTTTCTGCTCCGACACCAATTCAGGCTCAGTCGTGGCCAATTGCGTTGCAAGGTAGAGACATAGTGGCCATTGCTAAAACAGGTTCCGGGAAAACTTTGGGTTACCTAATTCCTGGATTTATGCATCTCAAGCGGTGCGGTAAAGATCCTCGAATGGGTCCTACCGTGTTAGTGTTGTCACCTACAAGGGAGTTGGCTACTCAAATACAAGATGAAGCTCTCAAGTTTGGGAAGTCCTCAAGAATTAGTTGCACGGTGTGTTACCATTCTTTGCTCAATGATGATATTTATAATTTTTATTTGAGAGGATCCACCAATTATTATATCTTATTTGTGTTGCCATATTTTTCTTTGCAGTGTTTGTATGGAGGAGCACCGAAGGGTCCTCAATTGAGAGATATTGAGAGAGGAGTAGATATTGTCGTTGCCACTCCTGGCCGGTTAAATGATATTCTAGAGATGAGGAGAATCAGCCTTCATCAAGTTTCTTATCTTGTGTTAGATGAGGCTGATCGCATGTTGGACATGGGTTTTGAACCTCAAATTCGGAGGATTGTGAAAGAGGTCCCTACTTGCAGGCAGACTCTGATGTACACAGCAACATGGCCAAAGGAAGTCCGAAAAATTGCAGCAGATCTACTGGTAAACCCTGTTCAGGTCAACATTGGCAGTATCGATGAACTTGTGGCAAACAAGTCTATTACGCAGGTTTCTACTTCATTGCTATGAAATCTATTTTAAAGCAGAATCCGACTGCTACTCGGTAGCTTCAGTTGTGAAGGAATGACCGCTTCTATTATATTGTTGCTGATAGAATTAAAATTTTCTTATCTTGCAGTATGTTGAAGTATTATCGCCGATGGAGAAACACAGAAGATTGGAGCTGATACTGCGTTCCCAAGAACCAGGATCGAAAATTATTGTTTTTTGTTCAACTAAGAAGATGTGTGATCAACTGGCTCGCAACCTCAGTCGACATTTTGGAGCTGCTGCTATACATGGAGACAAATCTCAGGCTGACAGGGATTATGTGCTGAATCAGTTTCGAACCGGGAGGTCACCAGTTCTTGTCGCTACTGATGTTGCTGCTCGGGGATTGGATATTAAAGATATCAAGTAGGTCTTTAATGTTTTCTCGGTGACTTAATTACGACTGCTATGCTAGTTTTTGTATCATGATATTTATTGCATCGTCCAACATCTTTCGTAGGGTGGTAATCAACTATGACTTCCCTACTGGAGTTGAAGATTATGTTCATAGGATTGGAAGGACCGGAAGGGCAGGTGCAACTGGATTGGCATATACGTTCTTTACTGATCAGGATTCGAAGCATGCATCAGATCTCATCAAAGTTTTAGAAGGAGCAAACCAGGGGGTGCCTGCGGAACTTCGTGATATGGCTTCACGTGGTGGAGGAATGGGAAGGCCTAGGCGTTGGGCTCCCAGCTCTGGTGGCTTTAATGGGGGACGTGGTGGACGTACTGATTTGGGGTTTGGTGGCAGGGACGGTGGAAGGGGTGTTCATGGAATTTCTACCTCATCTTCTAGCTGGCATGATAGAAGTGGAGGACGTGGTTATGATCACGAGTCTCGTGATAGGTAATAAAATGATCTGTTCTTTATTCTTGATTTGTGTCAGTTCTCGCATTATGCTTCTTTGCAGTATTTGGATATCGATAGTTGAAAGCAACTTGTTTAAAGTTCACCCTTATTTACAGAATTCTTATTGTTAATGCATGAACAGGTATACTCGTGGCTTCCATGATAGTTACGATAAGGGACATAGTCACAGTCGAAGTCCTGCTGGCTGGGGTGATCGCCAAAAAAATATTGGCCTTGACCGCAGCCGGAGTCGTAGTGCTGACAGGTATGGTAATGGTCATGGACGTTCCCCACCTCGGAGTTTCCATGAGGTGATGGTAAAACGTGATATATCATCCCCACTGCAACATCGTGTGCCCCCTAAAAATAATGAAAATTCATGGGAGCCGAGGCATTTTATGGATCCACAGAAACCTTCTCGCGAGAGGGACAATTCTGGAAGATCGTATGGTGATTCTCAGCACAAGCAGGCAAGATCGGGATTTACGAATGGGCCTCGAATAGGTTCTGGTGATGCAGAGGAAGGCACGATACCTCCCAATGATCATTGATCTCGTTAACCCCCAAGTTGAGGCAGTTGGTGTTTATATCGCTGCCTTTATTTCAGGTCTTATTATATGTAGAGCCCAAGTTGGGCATCGGCAAAGGCTTAAAAGCTCCACAAGTTGACATTTAAAGTGGAATTATTTGTTGATTTACATGACCATGGTATTTTTTACAAGTGTTTTTAGAAGTCAAGTAGGCGAAGTTGTAATTTTATGTTATGTAATGTAATGTAAGCAAGACAAGAATAGTTTTATTTTTATGTAACTTTATCTAGTTCGTTTGTCCGAAAATTCTGATTTTAGATTCATTTAAGGTATGGGGTCATGTTTAATTTGATTTTTCCAACCCTTCTTGGTAGATATTTAACTAGTTATATTTAGTGGTAAAATATGTGGTTCGTTCGATTGAGTTTCTTAATTATAAAAAGTTATAAAATTCCTGTGAATATTTAAAGTTATAAAATGCTCTTTTGAATATAAGATAGTGTTCTTTTTTAATCTGAATTATTAATAGTTATAAAATAGTCACTCAATTATTGATATGCTTTAAACTCGTCATTTTCTATTAAAAGTACAATAATTTAAGTTGGATGTTAACCTGTTGATTGGAATATAATAAAATTTGATTTTAAAATCTCATTTGACTTAAATGGGTTGAGATCATCTCAGACAAGTTGTTTACCTTACTCTTATTTTTATTAATTTTAAAACTAGATAAATTAAATATAAGTTGATTACTTATTATAAGCACATGTGGATGTAGGATTTCACACTAAGATTGAATTTATAAAAATTTAAGGGAAACCGAACTTATAAAATTTTAAGGGAAAAATAGATTATCAATAGAAAAATACACAAAATATATATATATATAAAATATAAGAGAATTTAAAAAATTCAAAAAAACATATCCCTAATTATAAAGTGATATTTATTCTTAATCAATTATTAATCCTGCAAAATCTTTTATAAAAAATATTATTTTATTATAACTAAAATCACTCAATAAATTTAGAAGATGTTATATCTTAGATTTCAAACATTTTATTGTTATTTATACTTAACGTTCTCTAAAGTTCCATCATAGTTTCATCTCTGTTAATATCATATTTCATTTAAAAAATCCATGCAAATTATCAAAGTCAATAATTTTATATTAAAGACTAGAAAAAGGATAATCCACCGTGAACATTTTCAGCCTCGGACTTGACCTCTTTCGCCAAAAACGACAGCGTTAGATTCCGAATCATATTAAGTATATCTTGTATAATTAAGCCAGAAGCCCGGAAGATGAGGGTGCGATTAAGTAAAATGGAAAATTTCCGGACCTAGACCCGACCCATAAACAAATCTAGGTAAGAAGAGTGAGCGGTAGTGTGTCGTTGACTGAGCTAAGAATCAATCGAAATACAAGGATTCAAATTCTCGGTATAGTTTTTTCATGAGACACAGTTACGTCTTGCGAATGCCAAATATCCCGTATGCCCTCGGGTTTCAGCGGCTGACCGAGCCACGACTGCCGGAAAACTTGTGTCATCCCCCACACTTGCTTCACTTAAAGGCTGCCTCCCCTTGCATGGAGGTCCTGCAATGGAACTACTATCTTCGAATTTCGAGTGATACATTTTCCATTCGCGGACTTCGTACGTACGGATCAGTATTTCAAAGATCCTTATATCTGTGTTACAAGAAAAGTTAATGATGCTTTTAGCAGGAAGACTGCTCAAAATTCGAACACATTACCTGTAAAGTCTGATCTAAGAGTTTCGCATGAGCGCTGCACTTGTTCGATGCACGGTGAGAAGGAACACAAAGTTCCATCTTGTTTCAGCATGTTTCGAGCGGAAGGTATGGAATCAGCCAACCTGGAAAACCGATCGGGAAATTCTTCACCCTGGATATCTCGGACTCCCACAGTGACTAAATTGCTTATTCCGGTCCTTTCAAAGTCCTCTCTGTTAAAGGAGAGAAAAATCGTAAAACCGACTAGAAAATGCATCTTTGGCAAGGTTCATTCTTAATCTTTCAGTTACAAAAACTCGAAAAGATCCGTAAACCTAGATAATTTCAAGACTATGAAGCATCTCAGCAACAGAATGTACATATTTGCAACTCAAATCTTTGAAACCGAATTTCTTCGGAACACATTCTCTCACAAACATAACTAGAAAGATCTGTAAAAAGCTAATGTTGATACTAGGAAGCATCATGCCAACAAAATGCGGATCTAGGCATACATCAAAACCCAAAAAGTCTTCTGAAATCAGAATTCAAGCTCAACCAGGAAGTTAATTAAATCTCATATTGCATCACATTGCACTCTCACAAACAAGACTAGCAAGATCCATAAACCGAGATAATTACGAGACTATGAAGCATTACAGCAAGAATCCATCAAAAAAGGAATAGACTTCACAAATGGACATAGAATTCAAGCTCAAGCTAAGCAGATATTAGATCATATTTCATTACTACAATCTTTTGAACCCCAGATTTCATCAGAATGCACTCTCACAAACGAAACTAGATAATATCCATAAACTGAAGTAATTTGAGACAGTGAAGAATCAAAGCAACAGAACGTAGAGCTAAGAATACATTAACCTGAATCGACTTGAGAGAATAAACTAGAATTCAAGTTCAACCTAAGCAGTTATCATATTTTGAAACTCAAATCTCCGACACCGAGATTTCATAACAATGCACTTTCACAAACGAAAAGCATAAGGCTTGCCTGGCTGAGGCAGCCCTCTGTTCGTGGAAATCAGAAGTATACACATGTCCCGTAGGAGGCACAGCCCTTGCAAGTGATGTGACCCACTACCGGTCCCGGATTCAAGAACCAACCAACCAGGAACTACTTCCAAGTACATAACCACGAAACTAATATCGGCAATATAAAGAATCTGAGTCCTGTGACTTAGAACCGAAGTCCATAAATCTGGCGTCGGAGCCAATATGTACACGAATCCACCTTTGTTGCTGAACACTTTGGAACTGAATGGCTTCCCGATCCAATCCGAATGCTTAAACACGCCAAAACGATTTTGAAGAACCGAATTCTCACACACTTTAACAGCTTTCATAGAATCATACCTCTCATAAACAATAACTAAATCTCCATCTCTAATGCAAAGATTGAAAGATATCTTTTTTGAGGAATCCATAAGCAACATCCTTAAAAGACTGAAAAACACATTTAAATTAAGCAACTATGTACATTGTTATCAGGAAATTTTACCACATACCCAAAGTTTCATCAAGAATAAAGAATCACATAAATCACCAGGAATACCCAAATTCATGAATATATATATATATATATATATATATATATATATATATATATATATATATATATATATATATAGAGAGAGAGAGAGAGAGAGAGAGAGAGGAGAGAGAGAGAGAGAGGTACAATATGAATAGTTTCATGGAGAGTTCAGCTAGAGAGTTGAGGAAAAAAGGCTTACCCTAAAGCATTTTTGAATCAGGAAGTAATATTTGGCAGTGAAGAAGAAGAAAGATCATTAAAGCAAGCAGCTAAAACCCTGAGTTTTTTTTTTCGACTTCCATCGTAAACCAAGTAGGTCTTTTTTATTATAAATTTTCATGTAGACTTGAAACTCCATCAGAGATGAACCCATCAGATTAAGACCCAATAAGGTTTTCAGCCTAACCAGGTTTGGGCCTCTGCGCAGTTTCATTGGAGTATTATATATATATATATATATATATATATATATGAAAAGATACCTTGTGTAATTTTTTTTAATTTCACACTTATTTATAATTATTATATTACATTATCTATTTTATTTTTAATTGTATATTTCAATCATATATATATATAATTGGTTTTATGGAAAATGATTTCCTAATTTTTCAATGTTTGGTTGGCGAAAAACAGATAGTCAATGTAATTCATTTTTCTGGTCAACTAAATTTCCTTTGCATTTTTTAGAAAATGACTTACAGTTTGATTTTTCGTAAGTCATTTTATAAACTTTTCACTTTAAAGCATAAATACTCAAAACATTTTTTTTATATATTATATATTATAATAATATAATTATATTAATAAAAATATTAATTATTAATTCTTTTTATTGATAATTTTAATAATATAATATAATATTTTGTAATATCCCAAATCTGGGTTAGTGACTAAAATGAGAATTTTTGAAATTTGGGGATCAATTTAGGAAAATTGAAAAGTTTAAGGATTTAATAAAGATATTTTAGTATTGGATTAAAGGGTAAATATGAAAGGATTATAAGGGTATTATAGTAATTTAGTTTGAAAGATATTTTATCTCCCTTATTTAAGGAGATAACACGTGGGAATAGAGATATCTGGAAGCTTTCTTTCTTCTTCTTGCTTTCTTTTTCTCGTGGGTTCAAGCTCAAGTCTATAAGGTAAGTTTGCTTCAGTTGATTAATTTCTTGAATTTATAAATTGGGATGGAGAATTTGGGTATTATATAAGCTTAAGGTAAGCTTATATAAGTTTAAAACATTAAGCAGAGAAAATTTGAAAGAAAATTTAATTAAGGGTTGATAAATGAATTCTTGATTTAAAGAGGTTTTTGAAGTTCTAAGGATGTATTTGACTTGTCAAAGGATTAATTAAGAAGTTAGAGGTGATATAATTGAATTTAAAACACATGGAAAATTTGATGAAATTCTTTGATTCAAGAATTATGGTGAATTATAAGATATGTGAAGTGTTATAGTATTATAAGAAGGTTTAAATATGTATGGATAAGTTTTAAGGTATAAGGATGGATTAATAAGTAGAATTTAGTGTTAAAACAAGATATTTTTGTGCTTAAAATGTAATTTTGGGTAGTGTGCATCGATGTATCTTCAAGGTGTATCGATGCACTCTCAAATAAATGAACATCGAATGCCATTAGTGCATCGATGCATAAGGAGTGCATCGATGCACCCCCTTAAGATTTAAACATCGAATGTAAATTGTGTACCGATGCATGGGTAGTGCATCGATGCACATGTTAAAGAATGCATCGATGCACTGTAATATGTACCGATGCACTTCAAAGGGAAATGGAATAAATCGTTATTCAGTCTATGAAATGATAGATTATAGTATATCTATTGGATACTAATAGTATAAATACATGATTGTGTA